GCTGCAAAAGATATAACACCTTCTTCCCCTCTCCCTGCTTTAAACATTCCCCCTCTTCCTCAGATTCCATTATTGCCTACCCTGCCAAACTTACCTCCATTACCAACCTTGCCAAATTTACCTCAGCTTCCTGATCCATCCGCTGCTCCATCTAACCCATTTTTCCCGGGTATCCCAAAGCAGTTACCTTCAAAGGAGACCAAACCTTAAATTGATGAACTCTAGAACTTATTCTGGTTAATTAATATGTAATGTTTCTTAAGCTCTTCCATAGACTTTCTACATGCATATGTAGCTGAATAAAGTGGCTAGTGAGATCAAGATATGCAATGTATCTCATGGTGATAGCTATTTGTCTAAGAACTTTGTGTCATGTGATTATGTAAGTCGAGAATAAGTTTCATTTTGAGATGTTCAATTGTCCTTTGTGTGTTGTGGTGACATTCATAAATTGGTGTAGTAAGTTGGTTTGAATTCATACTCATGATTAAAGAGAGTGACAAATGGGATATAGTTGGCTGCGTGAATTTTGACTTATCGGTTGTTATATGTGGCATTCCAATTATGAGTTCATGTTTTACAGATTGGTCCACAAGGGTAATTGTTTATGTTTAATGTTGTGTTGTGATGAAGTGAATAATTTTGGGCAAGAAACATAGAAAGGTACATTTTTCACCATTATTTAAAAAAGGATAATTTATCAACGAAGCACACTATTCTTATGTATTTACATATCAACCCCCTAAGCTTTCATATTTTTGTGCGTAGCACTTTAGTTCCTTGAACATATCCATGAAAAGGTGTATTTTACTTTAAAAAAAATGATAATATTGCTATTTTCAATTTGATATTAAAGTTTTGAGTGATATATGTGTAAATGCAAAAAATTAGGTGTGAGATATGTAAATACATAAATTGTGTGACATGTTTCTAACTACCCCTAAAAAAAAGGCAAACAAATGATATTTTAGGATAAGTATTTTTAAAGAGCTTGTAAACAACAAAGTAAAATCAAGTCTTCATAATAACCCTAATTAAGACTTCGAATTTCAAAAAAGGTGATTAGCGGCCGAAACAAAACTAACGTGTACCTATAGATTGATACAAAGGAAAATATTCCTCCATGTTGAAATTAATATGCATTATATTCAATCTCCATTTTGGGAAGTTAAATCAATAATAAATGGTGGATAATTCACAAGTCAATTAGATAATTGAGATAAGTATAAAGATAGTTTTTATGATGATAAAGTGACTATATGCTTATTATGTTGCAATCTTTAATTAATTTTATTCATGTTTGAATTGTGCACTAAGCTTCAAAAGTATTTTAGAGTAAGCTAGATTATTTTAAACCTCCCATCATGCCTACAAGAAAAAATTGATTGGAAAAACTTCAATATATGTAAATAAACTTGCTTAAAATAGTATATTGCATTGTTTAAAAGAATTATAGAGCAATGCGTAAATTTTTTTGTAATAAAAAATAATTGTATTGTTTTTGTACTCTTATGCATATAAGAAAAAAATAAATGGAAAAAACTTCAATATAAATAACCAAACTTGCTTAAAATAGTATAATACATTGTTTAAAATAATGCTAGAGTGCTACATAAAATTTTCTTACAAAAAATTATGTACCCTCTTAACCATCCCAGAAACAGAAGTAATCAACTTATGTTTAGGATGCAAATTCACTTCATCTTCCCCAAATTCTTAAATAAACACATCTTTCCACTACGTATCTGAAGATGTACCTGCTGAAATCCATGTTATCTAGCCATTAACCTGAAACGGTTATCCTAAAACACTTGTTTGTTGAGGAAATGATGTTTCAAATCTGGAAATTACTTCAGCAGTGATATCCATCATCATATTCATGAAGTTCTCTATAGTTAGTATTACGCTTGAAGTGAACATAATTTTTGATATTATCAATAAATCACCAACATATGATACAAAAATTCATACTAAATATAGGAGATAATTTTAAAAATTTGTTATGTCACGAAACCTCTAACAAACACTAGGCAATGCAATTGAGGTGTATTAATTTGCAAATCAATGTTTTCTTCTTTATTTTTTCCGATAGGAAAGCAAATTGCAAGTTAAAACATGTATAATATAAATATCAATATTTCAATAACAACTAGTACAAACTTTATAAATAATGATCTCTAAGAAGTGTAAAGTTTACGTTTAACTCACTTCTTCTTCTCCCAGTGTCCTTTCAATCTGACATTGGAAATACCCTTTGGACACATCATGGTTAGGTTCTTTAGCATTAAATTAAATGTTCCTCTCTTTTCAGTGTTTCTTTCTTAAACATATGCTTGGATAGAGCTGTGTTACCACACAATATTGAGTCAACATCATGGGACACCTATTTTAGTGATATATATATATTAGAAGGTAAAGACCATCATGTGAGAAAATACTTCTCCAATATCTTCGCTATATTTTCTTTGCATAGAGCTCTTGTGTAGTGGGCACATATTAATCTCTTTATTTCAAATTTCTTGCTGTTGTAGCTTATATAATAAATCATTTTATCAAAATTGACAATCCAATGCATGGGTGTTTCTTCATTCTCCATACTTATAAGGTAATCTTTTGAGGATATATTATTAAAGACTTCCACGATAAGTCCACCAAACTCATATAAAAATAAAAAAAATTGTACAATTTTTTAGTGTAGAATACAACATCTTTAATTACTAATTTCACTAATATGAATAATTATTGACCGGTTGCATTTGAAAATCTCATCTTATTTATTTTTTCTTCATGCAGACATAAATTTTTTCAATTCCTAAAAATAATCGATGACAGAGCATGTAGGCTAGGAAATATCATTACATTCATTATTTGTAGAACCGCTTCGTTGTGTGAAAAATATCACTAGGCAATATGAATCTTTATTAAATGTCATTTACAACCTCTTTGTAATTTTATATAGATCTTATAGGCAAATATTGTCTTCCAGGTATTCTTTTTTCCAACATCATGGCCCAAACTTGTTCAAACTCTGCTTCTGAATCACAGTTACTCGTGTATTTATAAAATAGACTATGAATTACCTAATTAACAATCTAGCAATTTATTGTTGAAGATAATTTTTTAAATATATGTCACTGCATAAGATATGACTAGTACGAGACAATAAATCTTCTATAACTCTCACATTGTTTGATCTTGATCAGTGAATTTTGATAAAGGTTGTTTATCATCTATTATGCGGATGAATCTTTTGAATAATCATTGCAAATGAGTCGATTGACTCATCTCATAAAGAACCTAATCAAAATAGAACATTTTACCAATGATAATTAACACCGACAAAAGATTTACAAACTAAATTATATTTATTAAGAATATAACTTATATAAAAAAGAATGACATCCTTAAAATAATCATTGTCTACCAATGATAAATCATCATTAAAAAGAAGTAATTAGTCTATTAAAATCATCAATTTGGACATCTAGTACAAATATGTTATTCTTAGTCTACCTCTCTATGAACAATTGTATTAAAGCATTACTGTTATCATTTTTAAGCCTTGCCCTTTTTTTCTTTTTGAATAAAATTGAACACAACCCATTTAGAAAATCACAAATTCTCTACTTCACCAACTTTCATATCAAAAAAATTAAATACATTGACAACTCCAATTTCTGCATTTGGCATTTACTTCAGCACATCTTCTTTCGCTTCACTAATGCCCCGATTAGACCTCAAAAGATATTGGTCAATTGGCTTTGCTAATGAATGATTATAAATTTCTATAATTTTTTTAATCTTTCAATTACCATCTAAATTAATACACATCGAATCATGGCTTGACAATTAGTCCTGGTGTCTAACTTTTTAAGCTTAACTTTGCTATTAAGATTAGACTCCTTTTTAAAACTAGCTCAACACATTATAAATTCTTTGATTTTATATTTATTGAGTGTGGCTAATAAGTGATGTGATCTCCCCAAAGGCTAAATCTACTATGATGTGCATAAGAATAATGCAAGTCATATGTATTATTCTCATTGTGAACAATTGTGTCAAGCAGATTGCCTATAACTGATTCCTATAGATTTGAGATTGATTCATTAACCACATCACATGGCTCGCAGGGCAACACCTATATAATAAAAATGTATGATGTCAAACACTAAAATAGAATAATTTATTATTTAAAATAAAAATAAAATATCTACTATATTTATTTCCTTAAAAATATAAGTTTATATCCTCTTTCAATGCTTGTTGTACCCTCTTACTTAAAAGGCAAATTTCATAGAAAATCCACCAGTATATGAAATTAAACATATTTCAAAAAGCATAATACATTATTTAAAATAAAAATAGACAACTAGGGGTGTAAACGAGCCGAACACGAGCGAGCTAGGCTCAGCTCCTGTTTGGCTCGTTTATATTTCGAGCTCAAAAAATGTGTTCGTGTTCGGCTCGCTAAGCAAACGAGCCGAACACGAGCAGTTCACGAGCAAAGAGATTTTGACAACCTTAATCACATAACCATCAGATTTTAAGAATTGGGACAATATTTAAAACATAATTTGAATCTAATTTAATAATTTTTATTATATTTTTTATTAATACTTTTAATTGATTAAATCTTTTTAGCCTTGTAATAAATTAAATTTTTAAAAAAGACTACTCATCAAATATATTTCAAAATTTAATTCAAAC